ATATATCTACAATCATCGCTAAACCCGATGTAAATTGTAAATTTGCTTTTTTTTTCTCTGTATTTCTATATTGTTATTTTGATCTGATATAATATCTTCTAATTTACATAAGTTTACAACTTTTAATTGTTCATCTGTATTTGTATTTGATTCTAACACTGGATTTCTACTAAGGCAATCTGCTTCCAAATTTTGTTTTCCAGGTGCATATTTTATTTTAAAATCATATTGTGATAGATAGTATGTCAAATCCCCTAATTCTTCATCAGTTCTTGATTTTAAATTCATGTTCTCTAGTGGTTTGTGGTCTGAATAAACTGTGAATGATTTTCCAATTAACCAGTATTGCCAGTATCTCACTGCTTCTGCAATAGCTAGACATTCTAAGTATATTGCTTTCTTTTTCTTTTGAGCTCCATTTAATTTCTTTGAAAAGTAAGCTACTGGTTTTTCTTTTCCATCTGGTTGTATCTGTTTTAAAATGGCTCCAACACCTGCTAAAGAAGCATCAGTATAAATATTAATTGGTAAATCTTGATCGAAAATCTCCAGAACTGGTTGAGAGCATAGTAGTTTTTTTACCGTTTCAAATGTCTTTTGGCATTCCTCTGACCAAATGAATCTTTGATTCTTTCTAAGTAAATTGTGTAACGGCTCTAGAATTATTGCACTTTTTGGTATGTACTCATGATAAAAGTTAATTTTTCCTAAAAATTGTCTTACATTTTTCTGAGTTTTCGGTGTAGGAAAATCCCTTATTGAGATTAAGTTGTCTTTCACTGGTTTTATTGAATTATTTTGAATTATATGTTCCAGGTATTTCACCGAGTCTGATGCAAATGTACATTTTGTAAATTTTAATCTAAAACCTTTTCTAATTGCTTCCAGTAATAGTGATAAATGTTGTATATGCTGAGCAAAAGTTTTAGAAAATATAAGTATGTCATCTATATAATTTACTGCAAAATCAGTTAGTTTATACTTTCTCAATATATTACTTAAAATTCTCTGAAAAATCTCTGGTGAGGTCTTTAATCCAAAGGGAAGGCATGTCCACTGATAGTGTCCTTCCTGTGTTACAAACCCTGTCTTTTTCCTGTCTGCAACTCGTAAAGGAATAGACCAGAATGCAGAGTTTATATCAAGAGTTGAAAAATATTTGCAATTTCTTGTCTTTATGAACAGATCTTCTATCAATGGAAATGGTTGGGCTTGAGGTACTACAATTTTATTCAAATCCCTGAAATCTATACATAGCCTTGACTTTTTTTTCTCTTCTTTTTTAAATGCTAAAGTAACAGGTGCAGCAAACGGGCTGTATGATTCTTCTATCAGGTTATTATCTAATAATTTTGCTATTTGTTCTTCTATTTCTTTTTTATCTTCAGTTGTACATCTGTAAGGTCTCTTACTACAATATTTTTCTACTGTTAGGTCTATCCGTGCTTCATATCCATTGACCTTGCCAACATCATATTTGTCATTTGCAAAAACTGATTTATATTTTTCTATTAGTTTATTTATTTCTGTCTTTTCATCTTCATTCAAATGATTTATTTTCATTTGAAAATTTTCTACTATCACATGTTCATTAAAATTTATTTTGTATTCTTCTGATGTGCTTTTATCTTGTTCAGTATGTAATTCTGTATTTATTTCTTTATTTGTACAAATTTCTTCCCTTTTCTGATTTGCTTTTTGAGTTATTTTTAAATTTTCATCTTGAATTAGTTTGAATGTTTGTATCAAATCTAATCCTATCAAAAAATCATACTCAAAATTTTGTTCATTAATTATATATACATCTACCCATTTTTCCAATTCAAAGATTTTTATTTTTAAATTCGTCAACCCACTTGTCTTTCTAACACCGTTAATTGTAACTAGGTTTGCTTCATTCAAATTTTTTTCTGTTCCTGTTAGTTTCAGTAATTTAGAATTAATCAGAGACACATTTGAACCTGAATCGTAAATCCCATATACTTCTAATTTATCGCTCAGTAGTAGTTTGACATTTATTAATGGCGTTACTATCCGTGGTTTTTGATCGGTCTCGTTTAATTCAGTTTCTATTCTTGTATTGTTCACTTGTCTAATATTTTTTTTCTCTTTCTCATCCTCTCTTACTTTAAACCAGCATATGTCTTCTGGGTGATAGCGAAGACCTTTATTTAGTTTTTCACAAATTTTACATGGGAAACGTTCTTCATTTCTATTATTCGTTTTGACATTTCCATATTTCCTCTTTGGCACATAATTTTTCCTTTTCATCATGTGTTCATACTTGCTCACCTCATTAAACAAGCCGACTGTATCTTCTATTGCTTCTCTGTCAATCTTATTTAGTATGAATTCTGGTAAACCGGCTGCAATAAGATCCACCATTGTACCTATATCGATTGATCTTCTCATCTCCAATAAAAGGTTTTCTTTTGTTATAGCATAATCCAACAATGAACCTTCTTTATATTTAAATAACAGTGCATTGGTGACGGGGCTCCATCCCTTGTTTGCAAATGACTCACAGAATTTTTGTTTCCACAGTGACCATTCTGCATTAATTGTTAATTTTACAATCATAGAACTGTACCAGTCCACACAACTCTTATCCATAAACAGCCTCAACATTTCAATTTTCTTCTCATCTGTTGTCACATCAAAGCGTATGCATTCTTTCTCAAAAACATTAATCCATTGGTTTGCATTCATATTTTTGCTTGTAAATTTTTCCAGTACGAATCGTTCTGCGACATTTTTTAAGTTTTGCGGTCTATTTTCCTGTGTACTTTCTATAAATTTCTCAAACAGTTTTTCTAATGTATGGGTTTCTTCTATCTGTGCTATATTAGGCTCTTCTCAATTTAATTCTTCTAAAAATTGACCGTCAAACTGCACATTTCCGTCCTCATCTAGGTAAGTATTCTTAAGTTCCCCGGTCAATGTAATCCACACCCTTCTTATTTGGTATCTTTTTACTAAACTTTTCTTCACTTTAGCAAAGGCATGTGTTTTTACTATGCCTCTATGACAATCCGCAGGACGTAGTTCTTCTGGTATTGCATACACTTTATTGTCACTTGTGGCTATTGAAGTTATCCCATAAATGTTCGATTTTCCATCACTTCCTGGTAACAATGTGAATTCGAAGCAAAGTTTTTCCATTTTTAAGTAAGAATTAGTAACAAAAATGTCGTTTTATAAGGTTTTTAAATTTCCCAAAAAAGGAATGATTCGACAAATGAAATAAACCACGATGTGTTGCTCTGTAAACAAAGTTTTTTTTATTTTATTACTTTTAAAGTTACATTACCGAAATAACACTTCTGAAATATAATAGACATTCTCACCTGTAAACAAAGAAACGACATTTAAAGTTTATTCCTCACTATTTCCTGCTTCACCATGTATCAATTACGCCATATTGTTTTTTCTTATGTCGATGACAGCGCGACGCGTGGATAAAGTTGTTTTTTTATTTAATTAATTGAAAGAGAGATTTTTCTCTTTACATATATATATAAAGAAATCTGGGCAAATTTTAGAAAGAGGTGTTTACGTTTAACACGTTCATCTGTCTCGGAAATCATAGCTAGTGTTAAACTTAAGCAAAATAAACAAAGAATATCACAAAATTGCAGTATCGGCACCAATGGGTGCAGTGAGAATAAGCACGCCCTACACAATGTCATATTCAACTGCTGTAAAGTAGTCCGGTGACTGCGGAAATTTCCAGTTCCCTCGTAATTTTGTCCATATTAAAGGAGGTGTCAGACCATCGTTTGCCAGAAATTTGGTGGTGTACTTGTATTTTGATTTAATGCTTTAACAAATAGGAAATAATGAAATTTATTTTAAAACAAAACAGTAATAATATATTTAAATTGATATTATTTTTACGAACTTAGCATCTGTTAGTTAATTTTACAATACAGGTATGTGCCACTTAATGACAGGAATATGTTCCGAGAAATAGGTTGCTAGGTTGTAAGTTGTAGTGTGTACTTAGTCAAGCCTCTGTAGCATTGACCACTGTTTTCCAACCTTTTTCTCATCATGGGAAAAATATGGATAATCTTACATGGACCTTTAATTGTATGCAACTATGAATAATGCTTGTTTATTATGCTTATACTGTACATGCGCATGTAGTGCTTGTTATGGGTTTGGCCGGGCCCACAATGGAGTGACCAAAAGTCCCGAAGTATCTCGACTACTGCTCCCGAAAAATTCACGGTTTATTGACCTGTTTGGATTCAGTCCTAGATTCCCAAAGGGTAACCACTTGGCCATCTATAATCTTAAGGAACCTTTATCACACATGTAATCCATTCTTGGCACTAGCATAAGCAGTTTAAAAGTTATAGGAGTGAACAGACTTTTCTCTGAACTTCATATATTTATTTATATATATATATTTTAATTGATATTAATATATATTGATTTTTAATTTATGAGATTTTAATTGAAATCTATTTTTATCCTATTTCAGGTGGTGTTTTTACCCCGGAGAGACAAAAATCCAAGTCAATCTTCTCTTCGCCCCCTTTGAGCAACATCACTTTCAGGAAGAAGCCTTCGAGTACATCAAAACTTCAGAATATGTTCTACGACCGAGATCGTATGCGACCGGAAGTGTTAAATTTGACAGATCCTTCAAATTTATCAAAAACTAACATTAAAAGAAGTAAATCTGCCATATCCACAGCATCGCCATTAAATTACTTGAAAGATATCTGGGAAAAGTCTTCCACGTCTTCGTCAAATCAAATGAAAATTGAAAACTACGGAACTCAAACTGCAGGTGAGAATTCTAAGTTAGGTAAAAAGAGCGAGGTCGATGATACTTCTTGCAAAGTACTAGTCGCGTGTCCGGTCTGTTGTTTGGACGTAGTCGAAACAGAAATTAACAGTCATCTTGATAACTGCCTTCCATAATATATCTTAAAAATTGTCTATTCTTAAAAAAGTTTTTACAGTTATATTTTTTGTAATTATAAAAGCTCTATTTTTTTATATGTAAATAAATATTGTAAATTATATTTGTGCAGTTAGAGAAATATTTTTATATTTGTTGAATCCTAATGTAAAACTAAACTGTAGAAATTCGGGCAAATTTATAAACGTTTATTATTAATTCCAAAAACATTCTTACAGCTTTATAGATCAAAGTAATTCTAAATTTTGGTTTTGTTTTTACTCTGTCCTGCAACACTACAGCAGTGGTTCCCAACTGGTGTGCCGCAAAGGCATTCTAAGTGTGCCACAAGACAAATAAAAGACTAAAGCATAAGTTAAAAGGTATCAGAGAGAATTATGCAATCTGTTGACCAATCCAGTAATATAAAATAATAAAGTGGGCTGTTAGTCCAAAAACATTGGGAACCACTGCACCAGAGTGTCTTTGTATCGAGGAGCCTTGCCCATTATAGGTTCATTAAGATCTATAATGAGCACCTCTGTTATAGGTTTGGTTCTTCCACCAATGGTCAAGTGGATGCAACCGCCAAATGCTACATGGGTTCGAATCTGACTGACTGGCTGGCAACATAGAGTTTACTTGGTATTTAGATGTTAAATGTGTGAAGAACCAGTTTTTAATAGTCTTCCCGGAGACACCCTCTTAGCAGATTGTCCACGTGTTGTGAGTTTGAACACGACCGGATGACGCGGGCCGGTACTCAATATTCTGAATCCATTAGTGTGTGAAAATTTGAACTGATCATGATTTGAATCAGAATCAGAATCTTTGAACAACAGACAACTTTCTGACTAGGAAAATTTACTTTGTTTAAAAAGGCATGGTCTAAAAAAATTGGTTATGAGCAAACAATAGGAGCTAATATTGACTGTCACCAATTCATTTTTATATACAGTAAAATCTCACTAAGTCAAAGTTCAACAATCGAGTACATTTCCTTAAAAACAAAAATACCTTTGACCGTACACAGCGAGAATCCCGACGACCATCACCAGCACTGTTCGTATTGTGATGCGTTTTCGAATCTGCAGTGTCGTCGTATCACTACATTGTGTTAAGACAAAACATCATTATAATTTGAATGTGGTCGTAGTGTTGCCAATGTTTTTATATATATGTAACATAAATACACGGTGGGAAAGACATTTAACACCCCTGTTACAGAATATAGAATGCCCCCAAAGAATGTACTGTATGTTGAGTACATCACGTAATGTGCATAACTTTACATGATGGCCATTCGAGGTAGGTCATCAAATTCTTCATGAAATTCTGATCCTAAATGATTTGTCATATGACCCCTTCCCATTTAGTTTCGGAGTTGCATTCAATATTGCTGCCGTCTTGATGGCGGCCGTGCACGTAACATACCGTACATCAGTCTGTCTAATGTGTTTCTGACGTGAGCGAATTAATGTTGGGTACAAACTTTGGATTTAATTTTTCAAAATCGGTCGCTAGAACCAGTGGCAGATCCATGTGGCTGTAGGGGCTTAAGCTCTCCCTGTTGACATGAAAACAATTAAAATTTATTTGTTTGAACTTCAAAACATTGTGTTCAAAAACAAACATGATTGAATGGTTTGTCCTCAATACAACTGTTGTGCACGTGTTACCTTTTATTAAGTATTTAAATATTTTTGAGTTAGCAAATGAAGTACCCAAAGGAGAGGCTACCAGAAAGGAAAATGCATTCTCCAATTGCAACGGCATGAACCGGTACGAGGGTAGAAATGGATCCAATGGCAAATGCAGGCGAAAGGTAAGTATAATTTTTGGTAAGTATATATTTGAAGACCAAATACAAATAGAATTTGCCGCCATCTACACCCTTTGGCATTGGCAGAGTCCAACTTTTCTTCAAGACTCCTCTTTGTTTAAAAGTCCTTTCAGAAGTGGAAAGACTTCTTGTCAATTTATGTAATCATAGACAGAGAAGAGCCTCAAAGAAAACGCAGGCTCTAGCGGTGTTGCATTCCCATATTAGGAAAGGTTTAGTTTTGGGTTATATGAGAATGCCTCACGGGAGGACTTTCTATGGGAAGCTGCCCATGGGATATTTAGGTATTACAAATGTGAAGAAAAACTCCACTCGGCCTGAACCCATAATCATCTACCGGTGGTCAGAAAGGACGCAAGGAGTGCAAATTCTAATTGTAATAACTCGAGAGTATGAAAATTATCACGTGTGTTACTAAACTTTTTCTTGAAATTACGGAAAGTACACACAAATTTCGTCATATTCAATAACAAATTTATTTTCACTGCTAATCGATTGCATAAAATTCAAAATTACAATTCACACAACTTTGTTGCATAAGTACAAATGGTGGCTTCTCTTACAAACGTATGAGGTAATACAGCAAACCGGACAAATTTATGCTCTACGATTTGCATAATTAATAAAAAATTTACTTTATAATAAATCTAAGTACTGTTTAGATTATTGCAGCTTGTCGGTTTATGGACTTTTATTGTGGAAATGACATGGAGTTAGGTTTGGACGGGTTTTCGATCGGTTATGCCACCATTTGCAAATTATGTACAAGATTTTCTACGTTTCGGTTTGTACTTCAAAATGCATCCGCAAATTTCTCGAAATAATTATAAAGGAAAAAATAATGCTTTGACAGAGGACAAATTGTAGTAACTCGAAAGCACCAATGTTTAACGTTTCCATTTTTTGGCGATTCTTTGTAGTTTTTCCCATGGTTAAAGCATTACCTCTCGCTTTATTTGCGGAACTGCACGTTAATTAAACTTCGTAACGTTTGGCACATTGTTTAGAATTTAACACAATATCAAAGGTTAATAAAAAAAGAAACGTCATTTTAAAAAGTGCAAAATGGCAGCCTGAGAATGTCCCATTAATCCGAAACCACAGGAATAATGTCAATCTTCTGTATTGTTTTATGTCGAGTAAAGAGAACAAATTTGAGTTATTTCAATGGTGAGGACATAAAATTGGTGCAAACAGTTAAAGGGGTGCATTTGGACTTTCCACCAATCATTTGGCTGCCATCAAACTCTTTGGCAACTTCTTTCTGGCCACAGATTCTCGCCATCAAAGTAACTTAAATTTATTTCTTTTTACTCGGCGCCATACTTTACTCATAAAAGAACAAACAACGAATGACGTAACTCCTGTAGTTCACCACAGGACCCATAGACTTTTAGAACGTCCTTGTGTATACACACACACACACACACACACATTTATCTAATTTTTTCAAATATTTGATCTCGTTTGTGCTTGACACCGAGTCGGACACGATAGATTTCCTCATACAAAACTTTTATAAAAATTTGGGAAATAGTAATGAAATTTCCACTCGACCACATTTCTTTTTCCCGATAATTATTTCAACATAATACAAAAATATTTGGTCGTGGTGGATAAAAGTAAATTAACGCTCTGACTAAAAAAAGTAAGTACTTCCTTAAACATAATTGGGTCAGATATTTAAAGAGGAAGGTCAAAAGAACCTCCATCTCAGGACGTCGCATCCAACGTGCCGTAATGAATAATGTAGTAATCGTGGTAGTACATTAGTATACATAAAGGTTGGCCGATTATTAAGGAGATCCACACGGCTATGTTTCCGTACTGATTGTGCAGGTAGCGAGACACGAACATGGCAAACGGCACCTATTTCCAATGTAAATAAAATTTATTACATTATTACGATAAAGCAAAGCAAAATGTAGCAAATTTACATACTATCGAACTCCGAAACCAAACTCTTATCTAAATTAGATAAGAGTTTTCTATCGATTCTATTAGAGGTAGACGTTAAGCGCCTTCTCTTATCTAAATTATTAATTTAGATAAGAGAAGGCGCTTAACGTCTACCTCTAATAGAGTCGATAGATATACTGGTCCTTGCGCTATACTTGCGCTATACTCTCGAGTACAGTCAATGCCTCAGGTTGTGCGAGAGTCGCTGTTAAGCAAGAAGTTTGCTTATCTATTTGGTTAGTAGGTAATTTTCCTGTTTTCAAGTATTTTTTTAACTTTTTTCTACTGTTCTGACAAAAAATCTTATAAAAGCAATAAATGTAATTACGAATATCATATGTAAAGAAAGAAAAAGTATATTTGGTTTATAAAAAAAATTAATAACACGATGATTTTAAATTACAGATGAGGATGTGGATAAATCAAAAATAGTTATATTTTCAATTTAATTTATCCAGGTTTTAAAGAGATCTGTTTAAAACTGTTAAAACTAATATCTCAAATACCATAGTAGAGATAACAGACTTATCACACTGCTACTGGTAACAAAAATGACACTTCTATCATTTTAATGTTACCAATAATAGAATTGTGATAAGCCTCTGTTATCTCTACTATAGTATTTGAGATATTAGTTTCAACAATTTTGAAGACAAGAAGCTCTTTTATAATGTTTAAAACTGTTATATTATACGTAGAACATTATGTACTCGCAATATATCTGTAAAATAAGTAAATAAATTTGCATCTTACTGTTTTGTTTTATTACATATGTATGACAATATAATTAGGAAAATCATAGCTTATTCTCTGATTCATTTAATCTATATAAAGAAAAAGTTAAACTGTTTTTTAAATAATTTATTAACTTTAACACTACATAAAGTGTGATATACAATTTCACTTGATTTGGTATAGTGAGAAATAGTATTTGGGATGAAATAGTTTTGTATTTTTGACACGAGAACTTACATTTCTTATGACACTCGCATCGACTCTACATATTTTGGTAATTTATATCATATCAAAAGTAGAATATGAATGAAGATTACTACACCTGTTACTACCATAGGTTTAAAATATCACTATTATTACTACTACCATAGGTTTAAAATATCACTAACATGTCTTTTAGCCTCATCACTACCACTGTCATTATCTAATAATACTATCTGAACTCTTGCCATCCTACATTTACCTATTTTATTTGTCAACCTCTAACTCATCATCCTCTAATCATCTCTAAGTTATTCAACATATTTACACACACGTAATATGTTGTCTAAATAGTTGGAATTTCCTCTTTTTTCTCTAACAGTCTATATTTGTAATCCAAGAACTAAATCTACCGACTTTTAATCTCCCTCTCAAAGCCGTTCCTAACATTTTTGGCTCAACTTTAATCTCTCTCTATCTCATTAATAAACACAATATAAACTGTGAATAATAAATAACATAGCTCTTTTTTCACTACAATAATTTACCTAATATTAATAAATAAAAAAAGTTAGACTTAACCTCCAAAGCCACCCTAAATCTTAAATGTTTTTTTTTGTAATACTCTAAATTTATCCTATCTTAACACATGGTTTAACATTTCTATACATTTCCAGAATTTAATGTATTAATTCTCATCGTCCCCTTTTCTTCCCGATTCAGAGAGTTCTCGGGAATCCCCAAGATATCCCGTATTAATAATGTATATACAGGCTTAACTATAAATTATTTGGCTACCTTTTCTTGCCCTTAACAAAAACTCCCAAAAATATTTAAAAATCAACACAAATTGTAAACAAAAAACAGTCTAATCAATTTAAAGTCTAAAATCGTGAAAGTGATAGTTAATAGAAATATAAATATTAACGACATTTACGAATAAATAATGTTCAAAACCGGATTAAAATAGTATTTATAAGCAGTCCTTTAAAAAAGACAAAAATTCATAAGAATTTTGAATGTTTAAAGTCGACTCTCCCTACGATCCAGCCAAACTTAGGACTACGTTCAATCGAAGTGCTCAAAGTGGCAGAAATATTTATTAACCGGAATAGTACATTACAGCTATTGCAGCGCAAGGACCAGTATATCTATCGACTCTGCCTCTAACATCAAATTATTTTATGAAACTATGTCAATCTTATTGGATTATTTCTCACAATGAAGTGTAATAATATAAGTGACACGAGGCTTTCTTTACATCTAACTTCTAATCTAATAGTGAAAAAAGAGAGTTAAATAGATGTAAAGAAAGCCTCGCGTCATTTATTTTATACTTCATTGCAAGAAATGATTATTTTATTAATTACACGTACGAGATAGAAAGTGGCAAAATAAATGGTACTGTTCCGTAGGCATTACCAAATCCTGGAATTAAGTTAAGTTATTATAAATGCCTCCACCTCCTCTTAGCGAATAATAACCCGCATCTACATTACTTAATTTATGGCAACCCCGTCACGATTTCCCTAGCGGAAAAATTATGTCTGTTTTACGAACAATAATCAAAATAAATATGAATTTTAACACTTACTTGTCCCACCATTCCGGTAAAAGCCCAAACTCTGAACATTTTTAACGGAACACTGACTAAATACTGAAAAAAGGAAAAAAAATTAAGAGAGTTATCGTAAAAATAAATACTTTGCATAATAATTTTAGAACAAATAATTACAATCAGCTGTAAAATGGAATTGTGTATTTAGAATACCATAACTGCACATTACACAAAGGACCCGCATTGTATACAGGGTGTCCAAAAATGCCCATACATACAAAGGTGAAATGTAACTTTACTTACAAAACATTAAAGTGTCGGCATTAAGATTTGTATCAGTCAATTGACTGAGTAAGGAAATGGAACACATGGGTGATCTGCTAATGGGGTAACTTCTAGTAGGACTTCTTATGTGGAAACTGGATTCTGTTTAGGTGTTACACATGTGAAGAAAACCCAGAACACTGGTGGCCAGCTCATTGGGCAGGCACGAATCAATGACCAACTACCGGTGTTCAATGGTTTTATTTATTCGGCCACTGCTGGACTTGATTTGTGTCGACATACGGAGACTTTTATGACACCCTGTAGAGTCACTGATGTATTTTAAACAAACTTCAAAAACAAGAGTAGAAACCAAGGCTTCTGTTTGATCTCTTAATCTATTATAATACATGCCAAACCAAGTTTGTCGACAAACTCAAAGTCGATATCCAATCGCTATGCAGACTTTGGTAACCAGGCCTTTTGCTACTGATCATTTGTAACAAATTTGCATGGCTACAATACGAGAGCATTTGTTAATGAATTTACTTTATTATGTATTTGATAGTACGTCGAATGGAGTATCTGAAAAGTTACCACGCAGAAGAAAATTTGTAACAACATTAAAATTACATGTGCGGTAGTGCATACGAAACTAGGAAGTTGTCCATTCGGTATCATATAAAACTTATATTTATTGTATTGCACAACAGACCTGTAACTTTAATGCTATTACAAATTTCTTGGTGCACGGTAACTCTTCAGACATCCTGTGTATTTGGCTCTTAAGAGAAAATATATATATTTTTAAGGATATCTGATTACTTAATACAGGGCCTTCCAAAATGAATGCTATTATGTTAATTATTATTCAAGAAGTATGTGATGTACACCAGTCAATACAGTAACCGCCCAAGTTTCGTTTTCCATCTGCATTCAAATGTCTCATCATCTACTGCCACTAGGAAGCACCAAAAATGAAAATAGCATCTATGCAACAAAGAGTGATTCACATTTTGTGAATCACTCGTCGTCGTCGTCATGCTATGCAAGTAATCTACAAGAGCCATGGTTGCAGTGGAAGGAGGGATGACGGATATGTCGTAGCACGCATAGAAAGAATTTGGGTATTGGTCGGATGCATGCCACGTGACACGGGATGTACACATCGTGAAATTGGAAAACCGTCCAAGTCTCGCACTCGTCTATTACAATGTTTTAATGTACCTTACGACAGTCTCGGATAATAATTAGTGTAATTACAATAATTTGAAATGGTGGAACTCTTTTTGGAAGACCTGTATTGATAAATCTGATTCGCTTATTTAAAATAACACTAGTCATAACAGAAGAAAAACATGACATCCTCTCGTTCAAGAATGGTCGGTATATAAGTTTCGGTCATTACATATCAGAAAATACAGTGGCATAGTTTAGCGTCGTAATATAATTTTAAAAATAAACATACAAAAACAAATACGGGTCAACCACCAATTTTCTAACACTTTTACTTCCAAAGTCTTATCAAATGAATGATTTTGATAGACTGATTTAAGCCACTTAATAATTTGACAGTGTATCTCAAACCTCATATTGTATGTCCCCTATGGCCGTAAAGCATTACGGATTATAGAAACCTTAAATTAAGTCCGCATTAATTGCAAAGTGATGCTTACATCTGATACCACTGAAATGTTTTATAAACTGTAGCTGAAGTTAAATGTAAGAAAAATAGAAGGATTACCAACAACTGTAATGAAAACAACATATGGCACCACTGTACATTTTATTAAGATTTGTGTATGCCATCGTTCGGTTATAATAAAGCATTACACCTAATAGTTATGTTTTTGGTCATCTTGTATTCAAAAAGCCAACATTAAAAGAGAAGAATATTAGGGAAAATAAGGCATGCCATTCATTAATAATGAAAAAATAACCATCGATTAACCAAGAAACCCTTCCGTTAGACAGTTCTTTCCATCCATTCATTAGGAAACAAACCATCTTCCCAAGAGATTAATCTTTTCAATTCACAACAATTAAAATTTTTTCTTACTTACCAAGCATTTTTGACTTAATTTATATATTTTCTGAGGCGGAAGATAAATTCCACTTTTTTATTCAATTTTATAACTGAAAAGAAAACATCTCGCTTCTTTAGTTTTATATTAAATACTTATTTATTTATACTTATTTTAACAATAATTCTGTTAAAATAACTATAAATAGAATTCGAATTATCTCGGAATTAATCCTCAAAAATTTGACCCGACGCCAACTTTATTCATACGTTTTTGCACACAAACAACATTTAAAAAAAAAAAAAATCTACAAATTTTTGAACCTCTTGACCTCTTTTTCAAAATTGCTCTGTCTTAAGTTCAACCAGGTCTTAAATGGCATCACTTTTAGTATTTTTTCCCAAATTTTTATGCCCCTCGAGCACTAAGAGAGCCTTTTACTTGGGTCCCTTACAAGTTTGGTTAGTGCAACATTGACGGATTTGAAGAACTTACGAAAGATAACTCGACAAAAAATTGAATAATATACAAATCTTTACAACTAAATATAATGTATTATAGAATGCGCAGTTTTATAGACGATTTACATTCTGTTTTTTGAGAAATAAATTAAATTTAATAGAGTATTTTGTCAATAAAATGCAAATCAGTTCGATAGCTATAAGTGATATAGAACTGCCTTATATTTTATGTTACATCTAAGTTAAAAAATACATTCAATATTAAATATACGACCTATTGTATAGTTAAGTTAATGTACAGTACACATGTACAGAGACAGCCTGTAAGTAAATGACACCTCCCAAATGCTTGCACATGAATGACACAATATTAACTCAAAATATGTAGCCGTATTGGAGAAAGATCTTCCCATATGTTTGCCGATGGACAGAACTCTTTGGAGACAATGGAGCTCTTCGTCCTGCTGCCAAAAAGATCTCCAATTAGTAGGTCACCTGACACGAATCTCGTTGAATGCGCCTGAATCTGCTGAATCGTGCAGCGTGACGACATTCACAAAAGCCCACTTCTCGCAGAGAACTTTTAGACTGTTCGTGTGCCGAGCAGGCAGACATTTCACTGGACAAGGATAGCGGAACTTCTCGATTCCACATCTGACCAGCATTGTGATTTGAATATACACATACAACGTTTATATCATGTAAATACCGGGAAATAAAAGACAGTGTCTGAAAATAAGGATGGCTATTTACGTATTGGTTGTCTCTGTACACTAATTGAGTATAATAACGACAAAAACTGCGAATATTTATATAAAAATAAGTAATTATAAAGAAAAGATTATATAAAAATTTTGCTCCTGACCTCGTGAAAAAATGCAGAGACCATAAATACTATCATCTTAGCTCTATCTTTGGTGATACCTCTTCTGACCATCGGTTTATAAAGATGACGCACGCACCATCTATGAACGGGTATGTTCCAATTCTGCCAAAAATAGTGCACTGTTTCAGCATTCCTACAGAGAAATTGTTTGTACAGTAAACATACATATAATTGCTCATTTAACAAATATTGTGAAGTATTTTCTTACCACCAATCTCGATAAAACTGTCGATCCGCAAATCTAAGTATCTCGGCGACGGCATTAAGGCAAGAATGAAAATACCAATAGAAGAAAATCAACCAAATTAGATGATTAGGAACCTGAAATTTGTAAGTCCAGTTGAAAATCATCGAGTAGTGATAGAAATTTTCTTATGTTTATATTAAATTATATAATTTTGGTACTCTAATGCATTCCAAATTGATTTATTATGTTTTTTCTACAGGATAATCATAATTAAAGAGTAAGCATTTGGAGCTCTCTGTAGAAAGAACTATTGGACAAATTGCAACCAAATTTGGTACACACACTGTCACAAGTATGTAGTTTCAGTTTTCGGGAAAAAATGTCTTCAAATTAGACCAATGGGATGGAATTTGATGCTGTCATCCCGTTAATGTGCGCATTACATATGTTTTCTAACAAATTTTGGATATAAAAAGGAGTTACAAAACATTCTTTGTCATGTAAACAGTAATGGCATACACTTTGCCCAATCGTGTGCTACACGTTAAACACTTTGTTAGAAATAGAAAACATTACCAAGTTTGCACGTAATACACACACCGAAGAGATGGCGGGGCCAAATTTTACCCCGCTGACTGAATTTTAAGTAAAATTTTCTTCCCAAAAATCAAAACTATGCTTTGTTTGGTACATATATCCAATTTAGTTTACACACACTACTTTGTACCTAAAATTAATCCAAAATTAAAGTGCTTCCTATAAGCCGAACGTATCTCATACTATAAAAAATTCTATCACCAAAAATCCGACTTGAAATATACAACATGTTTAATATAACGGTGCATCTTATGAGATAAAAAATAAGGTGTATTATATAGGGTTTGCTATTACACGTGATTTCGAGCAGCCACAAGGGACTTGGATTCTATCCCGTGACATAACATACAGGATCTTTCAAAACAAATGCTACCATTTTAAACTCCTGTAATTATGTTAATTATTATCCGAGAAGTATGCAACATACACCAGTCGATAGAGTAACCTTACGAGTTTAGTCTACAGTCTGTATTCAAGCATGTCATGCAATGCCAGCAATCCACAGTAGCCATAGAATTGTGATGACAGATGTGCATGCAATAGTAAGAGTAGAAAGAATTTGAGTATTGGTCAGATGCGTGCCATGTAATGGATTGACATAAAACTTGGACCATTTTGTAATGTTTTAATGTACATTACAATGTTCTTGGATAATAATTAACATAATTACAGTAATTTAAAATGGTAGCATTCTTCTTGGAAGACCCTGTATTTACAGTGGATAATCAAATGAAAATAGAACTTGCAGAAAGTAGCTCAAAGAGCTCAGCAATGTCACCAAGTCCAATCCTTAGCACTGCTAAACTCTTTGCACTACTTCTAAAGAGTTCTAATTTCATTTGTTCACTTGGTATATAAATATATACCGTATCTAAATTACAATAATGTGCCACCTATTCTCAAAATATCGTAATTAATTACAACTTACCGATAACTTTAGAAGCCTCTCCAACATACGAGAATAATTCATTTCCTGTAAAATGTGGATTCGTAAGTGTAATGTTTATTATTTATTTATTTAATAAATAATTTACTGCACGATAAGCTGAAAGAACAAATTCACACCTTTAACGGCTTCCTCGAATTATTAATAGTCGGTATGATCCACTGTTGAACCAATCCGAGAATCAGTTGAACAAGAAATAACTGTAAAGTCACAAATATGCAACAGTCGACTTAAATAAATTTAACGGACAAGAAAGCTCATTGTATAAATTTTTATTCGATTAAAAATATCTACTTACCATCTCGAGTATTCTTTTGGCTAGAAATCTCTTGCGTATTCGAGCCGACCGTGGAAAATTTAGCTCGTAACACAACGTCGGCGCCAGCATAAAATAATATATGTCTAAAGAAAATATCTGCGTTAAAAAATTTATATTATTTAAGCAATCAAATAATATAAAACTAAAAGTACACATTATCTAACCAATAAGAATAATTTACTAAATGTGTATAGGATATTTTTAAATAACTTGTATAGTTAACCATTCAAATTTGTTTGCATACCATATTTACTCAAACGTAAGACTCTTCTATGTTTTAATCTCTCTGAAAATGGGTGCCTATTAGATTTGCGTAAAAGTCATAATTGGCAATGTCTAGTGCCGTGTGTCTTATTTCTCTGTTGCACGTACACCAATATTCGCAACGGAAAATATTTAAGAGGTCGCTTTAGTTTAATCTCGTTAGTCTATTATGGTAACGCATAGGTACTTGAACAAAAATTCCAGAAAAAGTCTTGTGACATTTTCAAAAGATGTCGCCTCCACTCAAGATGAAATCGGTCAAAGAGAAAGTTGCTCAACTAGTTTTTCTGTGTAAATTTCACTTGTAGGCCGAGGAATATAAACAATTTTGTCTTTGGGTATAAAAAAAAGAAGGAATTTTCAGAGCTTAGAGTTAAATGGCATTTAGTATGACTATATATGTGGGAAGACGTAAACATAGAATCCAGTGTTGATTAGCATAGTTTTAGTTTAATAAAACAGCATTAGTGTTGATTGGATTCAGAAGAGTCTAACATGGCAGCGAAGAAGTTTCACACTTTTATACTATGGAAAACAGCAATATATCACCTAACTTGTAATAAATACTAAATAACGTCTATTTGTTTGGTGTGTGTTATCGAATTGCCCATTTTTCAAAAATTTAAAAAAGTTCACATGCAAGCATGTAGAAACTAAATTAAATACAACTGAGACTAACAATAACTACCTTTATATCTATATTATGTCTTAGTTTAAGCTATTGGTATGTTAGTTCTTCACCTTCAATTCAAACTAAACAACATGACGACGTCTTACTTTCGTTTGATTAGTAAGTTAATTTGTTACAAAATACATTACTACAAGTTGCAGATAATTTATCTTTAACAGTTATACAAGTAATTTATTTTTTCTTTCAACACTTTCATCTTTTAATACCAGGCGGACTTGTAAATAGAGTGCCGCCGTATCGAATGCTAGAAAACGGCAAGACATTATCAGATATTACTTTTTCTTTATTATTACTAAAGCTAGATCATGTAAGTGATAATTTTTGTAAGTATTTACATGATTTAAGACTTTTGATTATGGCTAGACATCCTAGTCTTAATTATAAAACCTTAAAGTCCTTGCCCTAGTTGCATAAAATAAACACTTTCTACATTGCTGTTATACTTATCTGTTGATATATTTATCTTCTTGTTATTTTGACCTTATCTTAAGCTTATCAGTTACATTATAAATAAATTAATATTTAAAATACGACGCTATCACTGTATGTAAAATGTATTAAATTATCTAATTTATTATTGGCCTTGTTAAAAGTTAGTGTTTTTTAATCTTTTTCTCATCGTAGACCAAGTAATTATGTGCGACTATAAATTATGCTTGTTTATTAAGCTTAAATATGCTTATCTAGAGTTACTGTATGTAAAAAGTATGTACAGTACTGTAGATTACCATTTAAATGTCACCCAAAATCAACTGCACCATGGTTAGTAGAGTGAAATATTTTCAGACCGGCACCAGTAATTAGACCAACAGTTGAAAAACACCGGTATAAGCAACCATTACGGCTTGCTGGTATTATTATAATTGAAACTTGTGAAGGTGATTTCACTCATTCGGTATTTGCCGACTGACAAGGAATTGCCTTTTGTCAAAGTGTTTGTCGTGTGGCAAGCATGCATTCAAACACACGCATACGTGCTTGCCACACGATCCAATACTCATTATATCTTTCCATAAAAACCAATGCTCGGCATGATTATTTGCCAATCGTTGATTTGTTGTGAGAATTAAGAATGTTTGTTCAACATTCATCCCTTTTGATTCGGCACAATATAACACCACGGGTGGGAAGACGGCATATATCAAATATTTGATGAGTGAAGTCACGTAATCTAAGTTTTAGTAATTTTTATAAGTACAAAGTTTGATTCTGTACTTTGAAATTAATTTTTCTAGTATTTTACATACACTAAACTACACATATTAAATTAAAAATTTCTATAAATAAAGTTTCTTCACCTCTAAATGTTAAGTTATCGGGATAAGATACTTGATGATAATGTTTAGAATCTCCATTTGGCAAATCTAAAGGTCCTAAGCAACAAAAAAAAATTTATTTAATAACATTTAAAAGATAAATATGTATAAAAAAACTTATAAATATCTAACCTATAATTTAGAAAATTAAAATAATGTACAAAAAGATCATTTATAAAGTTAATAAAAATGATATTAATATATGTTTGCAAGTATTACATTTAATAATTGTGTACAGTTTAATAAAAACCATTGTATAATAAATCATAAATAAATGATCATTAAACAGTAAAAGTTTATTCTATTTTACGACTTTAATTGCTTTATATTAACAAACAATTTGAAGTAAAAGTGAAGTAAGTTTAAGCAGGAAACACTGACTTATCTCAAGATTTAAAAAAAAATTGCAAGAATTTTCCTCGTATTCTTTTTTTTTTGAAAACAATTTCCTTATTTTAAATTAATCATATTTATTTTATTAAATAATGAATAAAATCGTTACACTCGGCTCTCTTTTAATCGAACCCGTTGTCTTATTCTGTCTGTCGTCCGACTTTTTTGTTCTCTGCCCCAAAATTAACCGTACGACATGAAACTGACTTCATAAAAAACCAAAATAAGTTTCTTAAGCACTTACAGGAAACTATATTGTATAAATTATCTCGAGATAAAAGAAATGCAAGAATTTTCCTTGTATTATGTATTGTTTGTAAAGTTTCCTTGTGTTAAAGTTCAAATAATTATATTTATTTTAATAAATAATTAGTAAAATTATACTCAACTCTCTCTTTTAAACGATCCTCGTCGTCTTATTCTGTTTGTCGCGTGACTTTTCTGTTCTCTACACCAGAAGTTGACCATGTGATATGAAACCAATTTCATAAAAACAATACTGTTAAGTCCCAGTACCACAGAAGCACTAACTGTAGTGGTATAATATGTTAATTTGTTAATATATTGTCGGTAATTCAAAAGTTAAACTCTTACCCGGATGACAGTCGAGATTATATACGACCATCGGCGGACCCACCACGACGGCAACCAGGTTGAAAGTTACTAACGTCAGACAGACTTTTTCTGGTATTATTCCCTAACAAATGTATAAATGTTTATTCGTTTCCTCACAGGTTAAGATCAGATCACTAATAAAATCTCACCTTTAACGTAATGATTTCAATTAGAAAAGACAGAACTATATACAAATTCAAACCTGAAAAAAGAAAAATTTGATATTTTATAAGAAACTTTCTTAATTAAAGAATTCAAAATTAATTACTGAAGCATTAAATTAACACAATTCTTTAAATATTTACAGACAAAAATTATATTTAAAAGAAGAAAATAGTAAATGTATTATAATAAATCAAAATCAATATGTCAAAGAACATTGCTAGATGCCTGTATTTAACTTATCAATTGTTTTTCATTAACAATAACTCATTCATTCCTTCTATTAAATGAACAGATACATGACAATCTCCTTCTTTTGTATATAATACTTTTAGTCTATCCATCCCTGTCCAACTCAAAACAACACAACTTTCACCTTTACACTAGAGTAATTTTTATTTTAACACATACACCAAATGTTTTTTGGCATTATTCACAAAACACTCTTACACTTCTTATGCTTTTTGCATGCCATATTCAGAATTTTATACCTTTTTAGCCAACGAACAAATATTTTTAAGTTATCATGGCATTCACTTCCATTTTCAGTTCTTTCTGCTGTGCGGATCTTTTTTCATAATCACTACGGGTTCAGCCAGGCCTGTAATAAAGGCAGCCCGGTCACGAAAGATGGAGACAAACATATCGGAGATGAACCACTCAAAAAATTTCCGAGATTGCTTATCCAGATTAGATTCCAGATCCCAGAAATGGTAGCCGACATCTTAACCAAAATCGCATGCAAAAATTTATTTTTATGCCTGTTTAATCTATAGTTTTAATACTGTATTCTTTGGCTTTTTGGACATTAGAATTTCGTCGGGACGAATTTGCACGCAAGCTAAATAAGCTGCAGTTTATGGCCTCACATTGCGAGTCTACGCCTTCGGGCCTTGCATTTTTGTGTGTCATTATTTGATGGAGAGAAGGGCCTGCTTTATGTTATAACTTAGAGCCACGAGTCTAAGTCCCACTTTGATTTCTTTACACATTTTTAGGAACAGGCTCTACCTTAGGAACACACTTGTTTAATTACACTCCTAGAAATTCATTTGAAAAATTTAAAAATTTGATTGATAAGTAAAGACTTACCTAATAAAATAAGTACAGATGGTGAACTCGTGGGCTTTTCCATAAAAACTGTAACCCACGAAACCGGATCCACTAAGATACCATACCTAATAAAAAAAAGTTGTGTGAATTTCATTTTATCGATAAAATTGGCTAATTAAATAAAAATATTCCACCAAAACTACCATCTAAGAAACAATATAATTAAATTCTATTAAATTGGCATGCTGACCATCTTAAAGCTCTTCGTGGAAAGCGAGTTTTGTCAAATGTCATCACACTGCACAATCCCTTAGACTCTGGCTGTGTTTGATGAGTTCGTGTTGGGTATGACTGGCTAGTGGAAACTTAAGACACCTTGCACTGTTGGCCAACTATGAGTCTTTTTGGTAGTGTGACGAGGAGCTCCATTGTCTGTGAACAATGTAGATGTTTGTCTATTGGCCCACTGGAGAATATCGGAAGACTATTCTTCTCCAATATGGCTATATATATTTTGGAGTTAATATTGTGTCATTCATTTGCTGACATTTGGCATGTCCTTTTACTTATGAGTTGTCTCTGTATATAATATATACAGGCCGCCTGAAAAAAGAACTAATAGATTACAGAAACTCATTTATTTCGGGAACATAGAAACAGCCATACAGTTTGGCCAATTAGTTAGCAAACTCGAAATGATTTCTCATCATTAAGAAGTTGACACGTGCACCATGTGTTACTCTCACAATATGGAGACTACATTCAATCTATCTCCAAATTAATTATTATTGCCAAATTATAGCCCAATGATATACTGCAGTTGAAATAGTGTTATTACAATGTATCGGGTTTAGTGGGATGTTTATATTTATATCCAGATGTTATGTAATGCATCTCGAGTGACAGCTTTGACTACCTTTATTACTTAATCTTTTAATGTTTTGACATCTGTAACACGTGCTAGATAAACCGGATCTTTCGCATAAACACATAAGAAAAATTCCAAAGGAGTTATGTACGAGAATTGACCCGAATTCGAATTAGGCCATCTTGCCCCCGTACATTCATTAGGAAAAACCTCTTCCGAAGTTCTACATATATGTATATTATATAATGAGGTCTACACATGTTTGAGTTCGAAAGTCATGTGATTTGAGGATAAATTAATTAGCAATGTAATGTAATATATATACACGCATTGAATAATTCATAGATAATGAAGAGGATATCTCTAATATTAATGAGGAAAATCTGTAAGCATTCATAAGCACTTTACAGAGTTACTATACGCGAATAGCATTTATTTGTTTGATTTACATTTAATGTAAGAAGAGCATTGTGTTCTATATTATGTTAAATGTAGGTTACCACTTGCAAATAAACAATGTTATATTTAAAATTGTATTATGTCAAAATTGTAGCAACCTGCAATTTGAAGGCTATTTAAAAGTCAGGATGATAAGTACACTTAAAATTCATAAAATAAAAAAATATATAAAAATAAATTAAAAGTGTCTTCACATCTTATCCCTTTCTGCACCTCAAAAAGGGTGGCAAGAACACTTTCTTCACTTTTCCGGAGTTCGAAAAGAAGGTTAAGGAAACCGTTAGGTGGTCCGATAATTTTCAATTATAATGGAATATAAAACTGAAGTAATAACAAAAGTTTAAAATGAATAATTTTGTTGAATTATGGTAAAAATCTCTATTTTGAAAAAAAAATATATTCAAGTTTAAAAGACACAGTATTAGCTCAAAGTTAAAATCGTGTGGTACTCTCTGGTTACGAGACATTATTTAAACATAGCTCTCATATTATTAATTATTATAAAATGGAAAAAAAAGGGTAAATTTTGAGACTAAAGACAAGTTTTTAAAAATTGTAAATACCAATAATGAGTAAAATTTTCATTAAATCTGACCCACTCCAGATATTATATGTGATTCTCCTCCATCTCTCAACCTTCTTGTTTCTGTACTCTGAAATTTATTAGCTTCAATGTCCTTTATAAGCAAATTCCTGTGTCAAATTTTGTTTCTTAATCTTCACCCCATCTTGTGGAATATTCACAATATCACCTCCATCACAGTCGAACAATATTTCAGCTGTGATTAAATAGTGCTGCAAACTTCTTATCATAAACTTTGTTCCATTGCAAAGGCCTTTTTTTTTTGGACACAGATTTTTTAGGAGCATTACGACTACTATTGTTTTCAATATTAGCTGATGCAGAAGCATGCCTGATACCGCAATTGTATTTAAACTCTGGTGGATAGTTCATACTCCTTTTAATAAGACTACAACCAGATTTGGCAGTGAACATGAGACATCAAGGTACAACACATACATGTTTTTCCAGATCCTCCAGGTCCATCAAGGAAAAAACATTTTTCACAATTGTCTTCAATCTGAATTGCAGTTTTTACTTTCTCAAAAGTCATTCTTTGATTGGCATTCAATGTTTTTATCAATCTATCTGCCTCAATTTCTCACTTTCCTCATTGAAAAGATGCCAAGCCCTCATAATAGTAGGCATTGGTAAGTTGAAATCTCAACACATCTTTCTACAGTCCAGAAGCATTTCATTAATTTTTGTTAAGGCCAAATTGTAATTGTTTTCAGGCATATTTGTGTTAGGAAAATCTAAAATCATGTCATCTTTAAACTCCTCCCATAAAGCAAGAGTGTTTGCCGGAGCACGATACAATAGTACATAAGAAAATGTTCGACGCATTTATTGTGGCATTTGAAAAATAACTGCTTCTTCTAGGCATCTTTGCCATTCACTGTCAGAGTCCAAAAGACCATGTTCACTTGCAGATTGTTGAAATGTTGGAAAGAGTATTCCATTAAGAGTTCATAGATCCTCAAAACACTTAACTCCTTTAACATGAAGTAATAGAAGTCTAAGATAAAATCGTTCCTTTTCATTCAAGCCGACTGTATACATTCCAATACGAGATCTGCATCCTATATTGGACAGTGTCTTATATATAACCTATATACTGTATATACACAGAGGAGCGGCACAAAAGTCAGACCCCTACATCTAAGTAATAATGGATAGGGGTCCAATAAGAGCTGCAATAAGAGTCTAGAAGAGCTGCAGTTTGGCCATCATGGTTATTTAAATATTCTTAAATTTTTATTTGCATGCCTTATTATTTAAACAAAACATTTTCAGTTTATTCTCTCTAAAAATCGAATAAAATGAAAAAGTCAAAGTTAAACGTTACCGTGAGAACTATTCAGCTAACCAAGTATATAAAATATTTATCCTGTAAAATAATTTTCCTAAATTTTTAATCACAATTGTTAAAATTGATATACTGTACTGAAAGATAGCAACAGATCTTACTTGATAATGTTTTCAAGGGCAACTCTTGTATTCGACAAAACCTGAAAATGTAAAAATGTTTGCATTTTAATTACATAAAAATGAGCAAACTTGAATCTAGATAAGATCATAATCAACTTTTAAAAATGAAAATGTTTTTACCCTTACGTGTGATGCCAACCCCCTCAAAATTGCGTAAGTTAAAGTATTTCAAATGTGTCAGAAAATAAAACTTTAACTTATTTAAAATATAATAATGCCAAATATATACATAAACTTAGATTATAAGTGTTAAGAATCACAAGCAAGTGTTGCACAGAAACTCAAGCATTTTCAATATTTTTTACGAAAATACCGAAGCCAACCACTGCCGTATTCTATCGGGCTAACAATGGCTATAATATTAATAAATAACCAAATAATTTGACTCTAGAGGGAGACTTTATGTATTGGGTTTAGTAGAGTTGTTTGTTTATATTTACAAAAATGTCATCATTAGAAACTATAGTGGAAGAAGAACTGAAAATAGAGTTTTGTACAACACTTACTTTCAATTTTTAACACCAGTAAACTGAGTTTATGTATTGCATTATCTTGGTGTACACGAAACCAATTTTTGTAAATAATAATAAATATTTAGACGTTATCTTCTTTATTACTTTCTAATTATTTGTTATCTGATATACAGGAAGACAATTGCTATCATTAAATAAATTGTTATAAGTTAAACATGTCTATTAGTTTCCATATGATTTTATAAACTTCCGTTTAATTTTTGTTAAAATTAGATTGATCTAGTCCAAAGCAGGACTCAAACCTACAAATCCACTTGATATTGGACATGTTATCAGTTACGCTACCTGGACCTCCATCCAATCTGTGCTTCCAAAACTGTTAATAGTTCCGGATAGAGGTACGAGTAGTGTAAGATTGATCTAGTTTTTTGAAAAGTAATTGGTAATTTTTAAGATAATATACAAAGTGATAAAATATAATAAAATGGTAGATTCAATTACTGCTATGTAAATTTATTAACCGATACATTTAACATTTACAGAACGTCTTAAAAAATTAAATAATAGATTGTGCGCCATAATGTTTTGTATATCTAGTAACCCAACATAAGAGAGATGTAATGCATGAAAATGTATTTATCTCTGACTAAACAGCATAAAATTGCCTATTGAAAAATGACTATGTCAGTCCACGGATCACCTGGCACATATGTAAGCCATACTTTGAGAATCACTGTTCTGGAACATCATTATGAACCTTAAAGTATTATGCCTGTAAAAATGCTTTAGAATTTACATTTAATATAGATTCTAGAATATCATTACAAGCATTTTACATATCTAGGCTGGTTTAGTTTACAATTTGCTATACTGCCTGCATATATCTTATAAATACACGTATAGGCCACTTAACGACAGGGATATCTTCCAAGAAATACATTGTTAAGCAATCATCATACGGTGTTCTCGAACAAATCTAAATAGTTAATCTACTACTCGTATACTCTACACATTTATTACAATATTAAGTAATTATGTATCCAAACATATAAAATGTAGAAAAGTTATAGAGTATTTCTATAACTTTGTGCATGAAATAAAGTGTAGCAGCCATCACTGTATGCCGCAAAATGTATCCCTCCGTATTACTGTCTCATTATAGAAGCAATAGTAGTGTCTTAATAAAAATGTAAACTTTCCTTCATTATTATAAATTTAGTCCCCAAGACAACTGTTAAGAAAGAGTACAAACTATTTCTTATGAAAGCATGCATAGTTATAGAAAATGCACAATAGAGGCATCTACAAATTGTTTGGCTCCATTATAAACTTACAGATCCTCTGTTGTATATATGCTCCATCATTAAGTGGCATATATCTGTAAATAGTTTTTTACATTCAAAAAATTATATCTATATAATAAAAATTGTCAGCAATACTTGAAGAAAGTTTTCTTTAATTATAGAAAGGATAACTGTAAAGTAAACAAGCCTGAAATCGCATATTAATCGAATTTTAATGCCGAATTCATCAATCAATATTAGTAATAACGTCATTAATGTGTAACAACATTAAATTTAATTACAATGCCGAATGTAATTTTTACATTTGGCATTGCATACGAGGCCACATCCCGCATTTCCACTCCGTGATAGACGGTATTACTGCCCGCTCGCAGATGTCCGTTTTTGGAGACTTCTTTGCCAATTGCGTAATCTCCCATGGAATCTGGACTGCATTTTCCCAGATTTGGGGCTTCTAGGTGGACATTCCGGCATTTAATGTAGGAGAAACTGCAATATCGTATATAAAATTTTATTTTTATCAAAACTTTACTTAAACCTTTTCGACCGTACAATAATGTTTTGGACATTGTGTACTTTTAATTACTAATATTTTCAGTCAGATTAACCAATTAGACCAGTTAATCTGATAAAAAAAACACTTCAGGAGTCATTATATAATGTATAATTTGCTCTTGTCCAGTTTGATGATAATTTAATAATTTGAATGAAATTAATTTAGAGGAGTATTCTGGAAAAAAGATCAATCTGAAATGAGACACAAACTTGCAACTACTGCTTAACTTGGGCAATTAATTTAAAATATATAACCATACTACAGTCGACCCCCCCCTATAACACTGTTGATTATTCCGTTTTATATGAATTCCATGTTGTACGAGTCACTTAGATTTTAAAAATACATGAGCAGGGCACAGAACGGCACACGTATTTGTAAAATCTAAGTGACTCGTACAACATGGAATTCATATAAAACGGAATAATCAACAGTGTTATGGGGGAGGTTGACTGTAATCTATTCTTCCAGAATACTCTAAATTAATTAAGTTCTAATTAATTGTATTTGTTAAATTCAATATAAGATGACGACTTTATCATCTACCTTTAGTCTAAATTACTTTATATCTGTATACTTAATTAGCCAAGTTATGGCATAATGAATTCGTCATTATCATTTGATTAATATATAAAGGATATTAAGACATCAATATCTCAATTTTTTTAACATTTAAATAATAATAATGCTCAATACTTAGTCTATATTTCCATACTTACCAATAATATTATGCATAAATTTAATAATCCTCTATAATTTGTATATCCACTTGACGAACTAAGAAGGGAATCTTGAGGACTGTGACAACTGAAATACATAAATGATCATTTTTAAAATTTTTAAATTTTAATTCCATTAAAATTGCATTCTGAATTTATTAACCGAATTTAATTAATTAACATCAAAAATACATGTGGCTTATGCACAAGAGCAACTAATACATAAAAAACTTGATTACTAGTAAATGTTACGACTACAATATAAAAGAAAAATGCAATAAAATTTACTAATTTACTACATTTTTATTTTCGTAGAATTTATTACCATAAGTTATAACACACAACGATTAACCCTAGTACAAAGCACGCCTTCGCTTCACTCGCTTTGCTTTGTATAAATCTTTATTTCCGAAGACGGCCTCGGCTCCGCAGAGCACCACCGAGGTCGAGAGCAGAATGTTTACGAGCATAATACACGTAAAACAGGTTACATAACAAGAATATGTTAGATTACAGCTGTGTAAGTTTTAGAATTCGGTTAATGTACTTGGCAAATTATTGACTGCAGAATAGCCAAATACTTACATAAAATAACTTGCATAGGAGTTGATTACATAAATACATGGTAACATACATCCGGTATTATTAACAAATGAACATAGGATAATATAATACAAAATATTATATCAATGATAAACACACATGAAGATATTACAAATATAAAGGAATGAACACACATGAATTAATGTAATGTAAGAACATAATAGCAAATAATAACAATGCTATAAATACATAAACAAATACATAGATGAGATTCTTGGTATGAGTCTCTAATACAGATGCAAATACACGATTACCAAGCATTGTATCATATCTCTCTTATATCAGTTTTCGCAATATCCCAGTCTATTGCGTTAACTGTTTCTTGTTAAAAGCTATGTAACAGTAGTACAGTACTCAAAAGAGTATGGATTAACATTATTACCATACAATATGTTACCAACAATACCAGCACATGATATTGTTAACAAACTAAGAGAACATGTAATGTAATAGTACACTATGAAACTCAATGTGGGTGCGACAAACGTTATAATGCATTGAACTACATGGAAACGAGTTATCATGACACTGAAAATGCAGTTAACACATGTAATGTTCATGTTATTATGTGTGCATTAAATAAACAAAGCAGTACAAAATTTCATGCATGGTTCAAGAAAACATCAGTTTATATAATTTATATAGTTGTTTGCAAGGCCAAAAACTGTTTTGTAGCATTTAAAGAACTAGTTTATATTTGCTACAAAACAGTGTTTGTCTTTGACAAATATGTCAAAGACTGTTATATAGTTGTTTGCAAGGCCAAAAACTGTTTTGTAGCATTTAAGGAACTAGTTTATACAGTGGTACTTCGGTATACATCTGCTTTCGAATACATCCAATTTGGAATACATCCTGTTTGGACGAAACAAATTTTCCTCGGTAAACGACTTTGTTCAGTATACGACTTAATTCAATTATACGCGTCATCTACGAACAAGTAGCACTATCGGTGTACTAGACCAAACTAGACGTTCGCAGTACAACGGTTTATAACTTGGTTAAATTTCTTCTGGTTTTAATTTGTATGTAAAATTTTATTATTTTTATGAGTCATGAATCGCAAAAAGGCAAATGAAAAGCGACATAAAACTATAAAAATGACTAGAATCACAATGGAACTGAAAAAAGAGATTGTTGAGAAATATGAAGGTGGCATGCGTGTTCGAGATTTTAACTGTTGCATATTGTATTCCGAGAACGATGATATGGACAATCGTGAAAAATAAAGACATTATTAAATCTGCTAATGTTGAGAAAGGGGTTAAATCAATTTCTAAACAGAGATCAGAGATGTTAGATCATGTCGAGAAATTGCTTTTGCTTCGGATAACTGAAAAACGTGTGCTGGTGACAGCGTATCGGAAGCAATTATTTGCGAGAAAGCTAAAAAGATACATGCTGATCTCGTGAAAAATCAAGCAGGAACTAGCCAGGAAAGCAAGGTGTTTAAAGCAAGCCATTTTTTTTTTACATGAGAACGGATTAATCATTTTTACATTACTTCTTATGGGAAAGGTTGGTTTGGTATACGTCCAATTCGATATAAGTCTATACATCGGGAACAGATTAAGGTTGTATACCAAGATTCCACTGTACTAGTTAGTACCAAGCACAGCAAGATTTACAGAAGTAAAGTTATTTGTGATGTTGTTCCTTTTGGCTTTTATTCTGCAGACTTTTGTATAGACTATAGTCAGTTTTAGGTAGTCAATAAACTATTAACACACTCACAATAAACCTTTAAATCCAGAATATCTAACCTTATTTAATGCTGACTTTTTTGGCCATCTTTAAGCCCATTCTAGAACCATGAAAATTCTGAACAGAAAGGAATAAAAGCAGAGAACTTAGGTAAAGTTACATTTAAAAATTATGGAACATTATATGATTGGTTGCATTTAAAACCATCATAACTTTCTTTAGACTTAAAATTAAACCTTTTTAAAATTGATCTGTAGCCAATTAAAACACCACCATCAAAAATTATAAATGAAATAACCTAACAATAAAATATACCACACAGTATAACAAAATATCAAGAGGAAAGCTGTAAGAAATCACTCATGTCGGGGAATTTCATACCACGATCTCCAAGTATGAGAGATAGTTCCCAAGTCCTTATAGTTTATAGATCCGCCTTTAAGGGATGTTTTATATCAATGGTATTCAAACATTTTAACAGTGCGACCCCAAGGTAATTTTCCGCAACCCCATTTGGGGTCACGACCCATAGATTGAATACCACTGTTTTATATATTTCCGGTTCCTCCAAGGAGATTTTTTTACCCATTTTCACACCCTTCCTGTTTTATACAATGATTTAGCAAACCCCTCCCCTTTAATAACATATACAATATTTCATGGACTCTCTTTAAGACTGAAGAAATGATTTAAAAACTTCTGTAAATATTTTCTATCTGACAGTTTATCCACATTAATAAGTATGCTTATAAGACCATATGTATGCCACTAATACTACTAAGCAAAATCCACATATACAATGCCTCCATTCCCTCTCCTTCACTGTGTATAATGCAATCCTCCACCTTCTTAAACCGCACATGTAATTAAAGGACAGTCTCTTAAGAATAACTACAATTTAATTTACATTTCGTAGATCCAACCTGTCTCTGCAATTATAGTAAAGCATGCTATAATCTTTTCAGTATATGCACAGACGTATGCCTTTACTCATAATTTTTTGAAACTGGGTGCATTTATTATGTAACTACAGTTTAAACAAATTAAAATTTTGGATTATATAAAATCTATTTATTTCTGCTTATTCAACAGAAGCTACAAAAATTTCAAATAGGTCTTCAAATTACATTGTTTACATGTTATAATTATCATATTGCATATGGTTTTTTTTGTTGGAAAAATTAGCTTCACATTCAATAAAAATAAGTGGTAGTTACTTAACATAAATAATAAATTTAATTTATTTAAATTTCATGAAATATAAATTCGGCATTTTATATTTTAGCTTTCAGAATATTTTGTTATATAAAACCTAATTTCTCTAATCTTTTCCGTAATGATTTACGGCGACAGAATTTATCTTTCGTATATGATTATATAATATCAATTTTCATTGTTTCTATAGAGAACATCATCCACAAGATATTAAAAATATAGGAAGTTTATCTAAATTACTATTTAGTTTAATTTACTTTCAACTCAACTGTAGCATACGTTTTGATGTTATTTCTTTATCAGTAGAAGTTTCAGCAGTGTATTTTGGTTTTTTATTTTAATTTATATAAAAAATAATAGTATAATTAAGGAAAACAAATAGTAACTGAACAACAATGTATATTTTTATTTTTATTTTAACAAGTTTAAGAGGTACAAATGAAGCTCTAAGACTTTATCAGAGCCGTAGACTCCGTCCACAGAAGAAAAAAAAATCAAGGAACCGACGGACCACGCGCAACTCTTGCAAGATGCCCCCGAAAGCGGCCCATCCGGAATTTTGAAGACCCTCAAAAGCAGGGTAAAGTTTAAAAGTAAAAAATCTGGAACTATTTCTCAAAACAATGCTAAAAATCAACCATTTTCCACTTTACGAGAAATGGCTAAAGCTTATAAAACACAAGAAACACCAACTACTTCCAGAGTGTATCTATATGCTATATACATATACTGTATACACTACATTATTATATCTCGAGAAGGGTCACATGTATACCATCAGTTTAAATGATTTTTTCCTCTGATAAGGTACCAACCTTCATTCAGAGTTGCATTTGTGCCAGCTGAGAAGGTGGAGAAGGAACATGCTTCAAATTTCTCATTTTGTTTATGATAAAAGCAACTATTTACAAGACTTTTATAGATTATAATTGAAAACTTTCCTCCAGAAATATAATTAATTGATTTATATGCAAACTTATCACAACTAATTGACCTTATCTAATCAATTTGTGAAAGCAATTGGACAAATTTAGATTTCAAGAAATATTCTTACGGTTGATCCGGTTGATTTTCCCTTTGTTTCTTTTCTCTTTCGGCCATTTCTTCCATTTTAGTAACGCTCTGAGTCCTCCTCAGGCGAACGTCCCTCGTATTCTTCATAGTCACGTTGTCTGACAGTCAACCTTGACAATTGCGGGAAACTGTCACACACTCCGCACGCTCATGGTCAAACTTCATTAACAGGTGGCGCCAGCGGCTATATGTACGAAATATAAATAACCGACTCCATGTCACGTGACCGTAGTTTATCCGAGTTTATTTTCGACCCGATGAAGTAAATTTATAACTTATCTCGCGTTATATAATGTAAATAAATACTTTAAACCCTAAATATGATAAAATGGACGAATCTGTAGTATTTATAAAATAAAAATTTAAAAAATTTAAAAAAAGAAAAAAAAACAACTGAAATTTCCCTAAAAAGGATAATTTGTAATTAAATATGAATATATTTACTTAATATTAAACTAATGTAATTTGTAAGTGTCGAAATAATTTTATATCCGATTAATCGGATATTTTTCCTCCCTTTTAAGTAATAATTTCCGTAAATATTTTCGAAATTTCCGGATTTTTTTCCGGAAGAAATTTGAATTTTTCCCTAGAATTGTCGTTGAAACACAGTTTAAAATTGTAAAAAAATTTACAATTTTATTAATTGAAAATTTTCCTTACTCGGAAGAACCTTGATAAATTTATTTATTTTAGACGAAACGGTGTTATAACTATAAAACAGATTTTTTTTATAAGTAATTAATTACTTTCAAATCTGTTTATCAAGGACATTCCTTTTATACAATTCAGAGAATAGAGCTAAAAATGTCTTTGTTCCTTAAAGAAATTTGTTTTTTATATTAATTTTTTACATTGTGTATGAATAAACAGGAACCTCCAATAACGGCCACCTGTAAACAGCGGCCGGAAACATTTTTTCAATCAGGCCGTTGTTAAGAGGTTTCACTCTATATGTGCACTTATACAAGCATTTTATATGGCCCGTATAGCCTTTACAACAATAGAATATAGCGTAAACCCTCAAACTTCCTGTATACAATTGGATTATCCTAATTATCAATTAGGAAATCATCTGTTTTCTCAAAGGATATTGGATTATAAAGGGCAATTCCTAATACAGTACTTATTTCAACTGCAGTAATACAATTATTAGGCAATTAAACCTTCTAACACTCATTTCAGACTTATCAACTGACTCCATAGATTAAGGCTTACATTCTTCTTTAGTTTCGTGAGTGTGAGCCTTAATGTTAGGCCCATAAAGTAATTTATTCCAAGATTAACTCAATTCTAGGCACGTTAAAATCCAACAATCCATACAATTTCTCCAGTTTACAGTTCAATATATTGTATTACAGAGGTTGCGGCCGACGTTTTCAACGCAAAAACGTGTACGTCGGACGTTCAGCGCCGCCTTCCTGTAAGCCTAGAAGTTTGACAATGGCGTTTGGAACGTCGAGCATGATTCCACTGACGTTTCAAACGTCATTGTTGAACTTCTCAACCTCTCTATTATTTAACAGGATTCTTAATCTATTATGCCATTATTAATTATAAGAAATAAGACAAATGAGTACCTATCAATAAATTATTGTAGAATTAATTAAATGATAGTTAAATTATGTAAACTGCCATTATCTTAAAAATTGAGAAATCAAATGTGACCTATGAACGAATTTAGATTAGAGTTTTCGTCACAGATAAATGTTTGTTATAGATAAGAATTTGCCAGTAACTTTATTAAAAATATATCACACGTCTTACCACTGATCTTCCGATTTTTTCTATAAAAAACTCCTTATAATATCACAGAACCATAGTTTATTGGTATGACTTGAGGTGTATTTTCTCTATTAATTTATAAATAATTTAAATATAGCCGTAAAATAAGAAAATTTATATAATTTTCTTATATTGCTGTGTGTGTAGCTTATTTAAAACTATATCTTCAATGTTTTGTAAAGGTCTTGCTCCATCGAAGCGTAGCCATATCTATGCTTTATAATATTGTTTTTGTTTTCTAGATAAATTGCATAAGTGCTGACTTCACGAAATTACTATAATATAATAAATATATAGTTTTTATTTATTTAAAGTTGTTGTTTTCCTGTACACAGTGACACTGCAATGAATCGTGAATTTTTCTGATAAATATCCTAATTGTTTTTAAACTACAATACAACTTTAGAAGCTCGGAAAATTAATGAATTGTTTGTCGTGTTAACCACATCCTTTGGGTGATTCAAGAAAAAGGACAGAAATATACGTGCTTCCTGTCACTCGTGGCACTATTTGTTTGCAGTGGTGTGACTCACTGTTGAATATTACAGCTGAACAGATGGGCTCTGATAAAATGTTCTTACGCAACTATTGTCACTATCAGATTGCTTTCTATTATATTAAAATGTATTATTTATTCGTATATTCTGCATGATTTTAAGGAAAACTGTATGCAAAATGGATACATTTATACAGGGTCTTCTGTGGAATGAATACAATACTACCATTTTAAATTACAGTAGAGTCTCTTCATAGTCCGTGGAAACACGAAATGTTCATGTTGAGCCTACGTTACGTGTATAATGTGATTCACTAGTTGTTAAAACATTGGAAAACCTCCCTTTCACAGTGCCTGTTGCAATATCTCAGTTCGTGCACGTGTCGCCGATACTCACCTCAACCCTCAAAATTAAGTTTGTTTTGTTTTGTGTTTGTGTTTATTTCGCTTAATATCTCAGGAGGGGTGAAGATAATGGAACGAATTTCGGCACGGTAGCTTGTATATAAGGGGCATTGATTATATTAAATTTTGGTTGTGAAAGACGAAGAAAGAGAGTGATCACGTGATATATCTCGAGAGGGGTGGGAATTAATAAAGATGTTATTCATTACTAGCATTTACGATATTGTATAAAACTCATCCCTACCCTCAGAATTAAGCTTTTTGCCATTCGATAATAATTAAAAATATAAAAAGTTTTTTTATAAGAAAATCTCATAACAGATGGCGCCACACAGAATTTTATTAATTGCATTAATAACGTAAAAGTTATTTTTAAATAGAATTTTATAACAGCCGGGAAAGTTATGCAACTTGCTGATGGAGTCTTTTGCTTTCAATTTTTTACAGAAGGTGTTTTGTTAAATATATTAAATGTCAAAATTAATAGCAGAGTCGAGGTAGTGCTATTATTCCCGCCCTGGTCTACCCACACACACCCGTAAAGATTTAAATGTTTTGCGTAAAAAATAGAACAGGCGCGTAATATATAGTCAAATTTCGATTTACTGCAGCCATTAAGCACCTAAAATATAATAAGAAGGCACACAACACTGCCGTTTACAATACAAAATTGTATGTTTAATATTCATTAGACGAATAATTCATCAGTATTTATTGGCGTTTTACGAGGGTGGTGTTAATTAGATGAGTGCTATTGCGAGGTTTGTTTACATCGTTTCGAAGAACTTTTGTTGCTTAGTTATGGCGTCGGAGTGATACAAATTCAAGATCCAGCACATTACTAATTCCTGGAATAGGAATGGAGCCAAAGAAATAATAATTTATGCTTTAATTTTTTAAATACCTTAGAACCTATCCTTATGTTTTATAAGGCCAAACTTCGATATAGCGTCAGCCCAATAAAGTACAGTACATTGAATATCCATGAACGGATCTTCTCCAGGGTTCATTCATATACTACATACAATTCGTATTTTACGATTTAGTACTAGTTTCAGAGGGGAACAAATTGTGGCGCTAAATCGTAGTTTGTGTGAACATTTGCCATTTGATTAAAATGTCCAAGTTTAACACTAATTGCTGTCTTTGATTACGCGGTTTTACGATTGCAACGTTGAACCTAAAACGAACAGTACGTTCTAAATCATTAAAGAATATAATACAATAATAAACTTACACATAAATTATGTGATTGACGTTGTACAATCTTATTTATTGCAATAACTTAAACTGTTATGGCACTTTGAGTCCCTTGCTTTTACAACTGCATTTATTCGTGGGACACTTCTTTTTGCAATGACAGCGTGTACAGTAGACCCCTATAACACTGTAGGGGTCACTTAGATTTTACAAATACGTGTGTCGGGCTGTGAACGGCTCACGTATTTGTAAAATCTAAGTGACTCGTACAACATGGAATTCATATAACACGGAAATATCTACAGTGTTATAGGAGAGTCTACTGTATAGCCTTACCCTCTACTTTCGATTTAGCTGTAGCTGCTTTACTCAACGATATTTCTTGAGAAGAAATCTCATCTATGAAAAGTAACTTTTCTTTACAAATTACAACCTGATTACGTAATTACGTGATTACGAACTGATCTGTTAATGGTGTCTTTTATTCGGATATCGCCGACGCCTTACCGACGAACCCTCTCATCCTCCGCCACTCGACCTGACTAACCGATCCCCAC